GTGAAAGAAAAGGTCATTAAAGTGAACAGGCAATCAACAGAATGTGAGAAAATAATTGCAAGTTATGCAACTAATAAAGAATTAATAACCAGAATCCACAAAGAGATCAAGAAACACCACAACAATGAAACAATCACTCCATTCAAGAGATGGGCCAAGGACCTCAATAGATATTTTTCAAAAGAGGAAATCCAAACAGCCAACAGACAAATGAAAAAATGTTCAAGATCACTAGCAATCAGGGAAATGCAAATCAAAACCACAATGAGGTTTCACCTCACCCCAGATAGAATGGCTTATGTACAGAAATCTACCAACAACAGATGCTGGTGAGGATTTGGGGAAAAAGGGACACTAACCCGCTGTTGGTGGGAATGCAAACTGGTAAAGCCACTACGGAAGTCAGACTGGAGATTCCTCAGAAACCTGAATATAACCCAACCATACAACCCAGCCATCCCACTCCTTGGAATTTACCCAAAGGAAATTAAATTGGCAAATAAAAGAGTTTTCTGCACCTCAATGTTTATTGCAGCACAATTCACAATAGCTAAGACATGGAATCAGCCCAAATGCCCATCAACAGTAGACTGGATAAAGAAATCATTTGATATGTACTCTGTAGAATACTACTCATTGATAAAAGAAATGAAATCCTGTCATTTGCAACAAAATGGAGGAATCTGGAAAACATCATGCTGAGTGAATTAAGCCAGTCCCAAAGGGACAAATATCATGTTCTCCCTGATCTGTGACAACTAACCAAGCACCTACATTGAAAATGGTGGAAGTGAAACTGACACTATGAGGAACAGTGATTTGATCAGCTCTGTCCTTACTGTCAAGGAAAAACTTACTATTTTATTCTTTTTGTATTTTATTTTTCTACTTAATACCATTGGTCAATCTCTTTATTTAACAAGCAATTATTCTTAGCAGTTAGAATCCAACTGAAAGTTTATCCCTGTTAAAAATAAGAGTGGCAATAAGAGAGGGAAGAGATGTACAGTTCGGCAGAGGCTCACTTGGACTTACCCCTAAAGGTAAAGCTAAAAACGTGCTATGGACTCCAAATCCCATTAAGTTGGCAGGTACCAATGCCATCTTACTAGTTAAAGTGATCAGTTTAAGTTCATAATTGACCATAAAGATAGTATTAAGTGTCAAAGGGATCACATAAATAAGACCAGTGTCTGCTAATAATACTTGATAGAATTAAAAAGGAGAGAACGACTCAACATGGGAAGCAGTATACAGTATACACAGCAGACTCATAGAATGGCAAATGCCCTAAACAGCACTCTGGCCTCAGAATCAGCCCTTAAGGCATTCAGATCTGGCTAAAAAGTTCATGATAGTTTCTCAGGCATGGAAAGCCAAGACACTGTGGCAAAAAATGACCTAACTGAAAGATCACTGTGAGATCCCTGCGGAAACAATGGGCCATCAAAGAAGGAGGTACCTTTCTCTGAAGGGAGGGGAGAATTTCCACTTTGATTATGGTCTTGTCTAAATAAGGTCGGGGTTTGTGAACTCAAGAGGCTTCCATAGCCTTGGCAGCTTATGACAAGCGCCTCAGGTTATTATTGATGTCATAAATGTAAGAATATCAATTGTTAAATCAAAAACAAGAGTCCCTGTGCACTTACTCCCCATGTAGGATCTCTGTGTTTAATGTGTTGTACTATGAGAATTAATGGTAAAAATATTCTTCAAACGGTACTTTATACTTTATGTGTTTGTGTGGGTACAAATTGTTGAAATCTTTACTTAGTATATACTAAGTTGATCTTCTGTATATAAAGATAATTAAAAATAATCTTAATGAAGAATGAGATGGGAGAGGGACTAGCAGGTGGGATGATCTTTGGATCGAAGGGTGGTTATGGGGGGGAAACAGCTATAACCCAAAAGTTGTACTTTCAAAATTTATATTTATTAAATATAAGTTTTGTAAAAAAAACAAAAATTGAATCATAAAAAAATTGAGAAAGAACAGATATTTAGTCTCAAATGATGAAACCTGATTAAAACTAAGTGAAATGTAAAAAAGGAACACTACAGAGGAGAAATGCAACAGACAGCATCAGCAACATCACTAGTAATGGGAGAAATCAAAAGTGTAGGTTACATGACAGTATGCAATGATCACAGAATCCCTTCTGTTATGCCCTTAACAAAAACTGTATAATCCTAACCGAATTATACTGAAATATCAGAAAATATCCAATCAGGGACATTCTGCATGATTGGAATTTAGTCTTCAAAAGATCCATGGTCATTAATGTCAAAGAAAAGGAAGGAACTCCTCCAGACTGAAGAAATCTAAGAAAGGCAACAACTAAAAGAAATTCATGGATCTGAATGGGATTCTCTTATTATCAAGGACATCACAAGACATGTAACAAAACTGGAAAAGAATCTGTGGATACACAGAACAGTGTTAACTTCGTGATTCTGAGTGTTTTATTGTATTTAGTATGTCCTTACTTATAGGAAATATATTCCAAAGTAGTCAGAGCTGATGGCATAATGTCAGCAGATGACTCTCACTTTCTTTAAGAGGGCAAATTATTTGTACTAAAACTTAATTTTTTTTTAATTTTAAGATTGTTTCCTAAAAGGTAATAAAAACTAAAAAGGAAACACAGAAAGCCATAGGTAAACATAACTTCTCCATGAAGAAGGTGTATGAATCAATGCCTAAAGTTAAAATTACATAATTTTGGTAGCACTATAAAATTATATTGCATCCAAGCAATGATATTGACACTGGCCAGAGTATCAGTATACCAAAATGATGTCTATCCAAATCATTAGGTTTGTATGTAGTAGCAAAAATTGGCAAATTCAAAGAAGCCCTTAATTAATCCCACTAAAGTATTCCATTCAACTTGGTTTTCAGGGTGCTGTATAATGGCCACCATTTGGACAACTGAGTTTGTAAAAGTTAATCATACTGGTTTTCATTTGCAAAATCTGTGCTAAGTTAGTTATACATCCCAACAAACAGTTTCATGTGCTGCAACTGGCCTGCCATTGGGAACAGAAGTTAAGATGCCGTTTGAAATATCCTGCATCCCTGGTGGAATCCCTAGCAAGACCAGGTTCCCATCCTGATTCCTAGCTTCCAATAATGTGTGCTCTGGGAAGTGGCGAGTGATAGAACAAGTAATTGGATCCTTGCCACATAAGTAGGATGCCTGAACTGAATTCCTGGATCCTGGCTTCAGCACAGCCCACCTATATTTCACTGCAGATATATGGGTGCTGTACTATTGGAAGGGGGATCTCTCTGTTTTCCCCCTCTTTTCCCCTTTCCCTTTTTCTTGCTCCCTCCCTTACCACTATCTCTGTCTTTCAAAAAATATAAATTGGAAATACAAAATTTCAATTGTAGATACATAACACTAAATGTTTTCAGTTAGTGAGGATTTTCCCACATAATATATTTAAAAAGAAATAACAGGTGTGTTACATAAGCAGTGGTCAGTAAAATTTTATAATATAAAGCATAAGTAAATGGTAAATGTGTTACATAGCAGTGGTCAGTAATTGTAATTCAGAGCATATTTTTTCTTTAAAATGTGTACATATTCTTTTGACATGTTGACTTAAATTGGACTCATTGTTGGCTCCTAGGTCACTTTTTAAGTTCCTCAGTAGCTGGAAAAAAAGAAAGAATTCCATTTTTTAATATCAAACATGTCATAATTAACTGTTTAAATCAGTACAAGGTGATAATTTCAAGAAAAATTTGTATATATTACTAAAGTACAAAATTACCTTTAGATATAATTTGTCTATATTTACACAATGGAATTATTACTGTGAGTTAAATATCAGTGATCCTGTATTTTTCTTCTTTTTCATTCTTTCCTCAGCTTAACAATGTGATTAAAGATGAAGATAATACTGTCCATCTCTAAATAATCATATGCTATGTCTAAAAATATAGATGAAGGGGCAGCACTATGGCAGAGAGGGTAAAGCCACCACATCCCATATGGGCACCAGCTCAAGTCCCAGCTGCTCCACTTCTGAACCAGCTCTCTACTATGCCTGGGAAAGCAGTAGAAGATGACCCAAGTCCTTGGGCCCCAGCACCCAACATGGGAAGACCCAGAGGAAACTCCTGGCTCCAGCCATTATGGCCAGTTGGGGAGGGAACCAGTGGATGGAAGACCTCTCTCTCTCTCTCTCTCTCTCTCTCTACCTCCCTTTCTGTGTGGAACTGTAACTTTTAAATAAATAAATACATCTTTAAAAAATATAGATGAGGAGGCAACTTCCCTATGGGGATAGGAATAAATTATGGCACTATCACCACACACACAGAAGAGAAATTGTTTCTAATTTTATGTCATTACTGTAGGTTTTTTTAGTGGCAGTGGCATGGAAGTCGACATCCACAGTACAAGGAAATAGTATACCTGATAGATGGAAAGCAGACTGAATGCAAAGAGATAGAGCTCAGGAAGAGAACTTGTGGTATCATAAGTAGGCTGGTTTGTCTTGACAAACAAACAGAGTTGTGCTTTTGTTCCTTGCTAAGGATTTTGGAAACTTTCTTGAGGGTAAAAGTAAATGAGCCCAGATGTTAAGTCTACTGTCAAGCAGCTGCTTTGTACTGTCATTGCTTGACTGGCTATGACAAGGACTTGAGATGGCCCTTATGTCACTATGACGCACTTGAGAAGCTGATGATGCCACTGTCTTCTGAAAACAGCTTTCGTATGTAGGCTGACAGTATCACAGAGACAGCAAGAGCATACAAAGTGTAGAGTCAGAAAAAGAGAGGCCCATAAACCTTTTTGAGATATTTTCTAAGCTATGGGATATGAAGACTATATAATAAATATATTCCTCATTATAATGTTCACATAGTTCACATAGTTCATTAGCTTTATGTAAAGTAGTGAACCAAAAATAAAAAGGGATGCCACTTGCTACTTACAGTTTGTCATAAATCAATGCTTTCACAAAATTTGACAACATACCTCCATCTCATTTGCTACTTAAAATTGTGTTGTGCTTTCCACATCTGAAACAAGGCAAATTTTATGTATAATATTTAAGTTAAACTAGTTATATTATCACGGGAATAAACTATCAGTTAAAAATATGGTCCTTAATTCTTTTAGAGACTAGACCAAACTTGAAGATGGCTTAAATAGAAAAACAGTCACATATATTAAACAAAATTCCTAGTGATTTTATGTTAACCTAATAGGAAAATATGATTAAAAAGTACACTAAGCATTAATCTGTTTCATACACATTATTTTAGAAGGGTGGCATTTAATTAGTACAAAGGTTAAAACAAGTCAAGTCAGGTTTTACAATAAATGAATGAACTAGAACAACTCTGTACTTTATAAAAGATGACTTTTTCACTTTCATGTGTTTCCATAAACTGAATTTTCCATTACCCACTTCTAGAAAAACAAATTTTAAAGTATTCCATGGTATTTTCATCATGGAATATTAAGCAAATAAGTAAAGAAAGAGGTATTGTCATAATGTCATGTAAAAATTCTACTGGGAAAATATTAGATAAAAAAACATCTTGTGTATATTATAACACAACAGTACTGTATTCATATGGACATGAGTATTCAGAAAATTTGAGAACTAATTTTCAAATTCAATTGTTAGATGCATGACTTTCTAGAATGAGAAATAAGGAAACCAATGTGTAACTCTTTAATTTTCATTTCTTTTAGGAAGTTAGCATTGGGGCATGCATTGTAGACCAGCAAGGTAAGCAGCTTCTCTGAAGCCAGCATCCTATATTAACGCATCGACTGCTCCGCTTTCTTTTTTTTTTTTACTTTTATTTAGTAAATATAAATTTCCAAAGTAGTTTATGGATTACAATGGCTTCCCCCCCCATAATTTCCCTCCCATCGCACCCCTCCCATCTCCCACTCCCTCTCCCATTCCATTCACATCAAGATTCATTTTCAATTCTCTTCATATACAGAAGGTCGATTTAGTATATATTAAGTAAAGATTTCATCAGTTTGCACCCACACAGCAACACAAAGTGTAAAATACTATTTCAGTACTAGTTATAGCGTTACTTCACATTGGACAACAAACTAAGGACAGATCCCACATGAGAAGTAAGTACACAGTGACTCCTGTTGTTGACTTAACAATGTGACACTCTTGTTTATGGCATCAGTAATCTCCCTAGGCTCTAGTCATGAGTTTCCAAGGCCATGGAAGCCTTTTGGCTTTGCCGACTTTGATCTTATTCTGACAGGGTCATAGTCAAAGTGGAAGTTCTCTCCTCCCTTCAGAGAAAGCTACCTCCTCCTTTGATGGCCTGTTCTTTCTACTGGGATCTCACTCGCAGAGATCTTTCATTTAGGTCTTTTTTTTCCACAGTGTCTTGGCTTTCCATGCCTAAAATACTCTCATAGGCTCTTCAGCCATATCCGAATGCCTTAAGGGCTGATTCTGAGGCCAGAGTGCTGTTTAGGACATCTGCACTTCTATGAGTCTGCTGTGTATCCTGCTTCCCATGTTGGATCATTCTCTCCCTTTTTGATTCTACCAGTTAGTATTAGCAGACACTAGTCTTGTTTGTGTGATCCCTTTGACTCTTAGACCTATCAGTGTGATCAATTGTGAACTGAAATTGATCACTGGGACTAGTGAGGTGGCATTGGTACATGCCACCTTGATGGGATTGTATTGGAATCCCCTGGCATGTTTCTAACTCCACCATTTCTGGCAAGTCCGATTTCAGCTCTCTGATAATCCACCTGGGAAAGCAGCAAAAGATGCCCCGAGTGTTTGGGCCCCTGACACCCATGTGGGAGACCTGGGTGGAATTCCAGGCTCTGGCTTTGGCCAGGCCCAGCCCTGTCCATTGTGTCCATTTGGGGAGTGAATAATCAAATGAAGACCTCTCTGTCTCTCCCTCCCTCTATCTCTGCCTTTAAAATAAATGTCGTAAAAATGTAGTCAAATTTTGAAACATTTGTTTTTTAAGTTTGATCATAATTTAAAAAAATTATTTAATATAAACACATTTATACAATTCACAAATACAGTTCTATGAAGTTATTAATTCTAATTACCCACTTAATTTTGAAATGTGAAGAAACATTTCAAAATATATTGCAGCTGTCTCTAGAATATTCTTACTTAAATATTTTATATAAAAGTTATTATCTAATAAAATATCCCAACAGGCTTTAAATACTCCTACACATGACATAATAAACAGTTCATGGAGATCATGATAAAGTAATATAAATACCTTCATTCTGGCATGAAGGCAAATTTTCTTGACTCCTATATTTTTCAATGATCTGAAAACATCTTTCCCATAAAGTTGAGGTGTCAAGATCCTGAAGGGCAAACTTTAGAAATTGAACAATGTGTCAACAGCATCACCAAGTAGAATATGGGGGGGAAATAACTCACTACAATATGTTGGAAAGAACAGTTACTGGTAGAATCTTATGTTATCATAAATAAAAATTACATAAAGTATAAATCACATTCTTACATAATTTGAATGAAGGAACTACCAATGTAATATTATTTTCCTCAATAGTTCTCCTATATATATATTTCCTATGTATAATAGATGATATTATCTTATATTACACTCAAAAATATTTAATAGTATACGTTTTACATAGAAAAATGAGATGCCCTTCTTGAAAAGTTCCTTAATTTCATGTTAAAGAAACCGTAACTTTATAGAGAACATTTTGTAAAGCAATTTCAGCAAGATCATATGTGTTTTTAGATGACATGATTTATGTGGACAAACCTAAACACTCCACCAAAAAGCTGTTAGAATTGATAAACCAATTCAGTAAAGTTGCTAGTTAAAATATAAATATACAAAATCAAGTGCTTTTTCTAGGTTAATGATGAACTCACAGAAAAAGAAATCAAGAAAGAAATTTTATTCACTGTCAAAAAAGAAAAAAGAAATTTCATTCACAATAGGCACCAAAAAATCAACTGTTTAGGAATAAATTGAACCAAAGAAGTGAAAGGTTTATACAATGAAAAGTCTCAAACATTCAAGAAGAGGTCATTAAGGGCTGCAAAAAAATGGAAAGATACCACTTGCTCATGGATTGAAAGATTCAAAATCAGAATATGTTGGGAGGCAAGATGGCAGAATAGGAAGGGAGCACACTGATAGTCCGGGGAGAGACAGTTTAATAAAAGTGGAGATACTGCAGGTTCAAGGAAGAGTAGGGGAGGAAACAGCAGAAGAAACTCTTCCGGAATGCGTGATTCACAGTGGACCTGCATGGAGAGCGTGGGAGCCCACAGTTCGGGACACCAGCGGCAGACTCAACACACCAGCACTGGAACGCGAGCTGTGTGGAATTACTTCCCTTTTGAATCAAAAAAAGAAAGAGAGAGAGAGAGAGAGAGAGAGAGAGAGAGAGATATCTACCACGCCTAACCTGGGAGTGTCACCTTTGGCACACCAAACAGAGCTCTCAGGCCACACCCATCTCAAGCCTCTAAGGCTCCATCAAAAACAGACAGTCCACTTAATCTAGAGTCATAGTATAACAAGAAAAAGCACCACAGTGAAGAAACCAAATATCTCCAATATGCCAAATAACAAACGCAAAAACCAAGGTAATAAAAACAAGGAAGTCACCATGACGACCCCAAATGAAAAAGACACCCCAATTCAAGATTATGAAGATGATGAGTTAGAAGAAATGCAAGAAGCAGATCTCAAAATATTGATAAGAACATTAAGAAGTTCTCAAAAACAAATTCTTGAACTACAGAAATCCTTAATGGACAAGATAGAAAATCTCTCTCGTGAAAATGAAATATTAAGGAGGAATCAAAATGAAACGAAACAACTAGTACAACAGGAAACTGTGATAGTGACGAGAAATCATAATGAAGTGAAGAATTCAATAGATCAAATGAAAAACACAATAGAGAGCCTTACAAACAGAATGGGTGAAGCAGAAGAGAGAATATCGGACTTAGAAGACAGAGAACAAGAAGGGATACAGTCAGACCAAAGAAAAGAAGAGGAAATTAGAAATCTAAAACATATTGTCAGGAATCTGCAGGATACTATTAAAAAACCCAACATTCGGGTTCTAGGAGTTCCTGAAGGCATGGAGAGGGAGAAAGGATTAGAAGGCCTTTTTAGTGAGATATTAGCAGAAAATTTCCCAGGTTTGGAGAAGGACAGAGAAATCCTAGTACAGCAAGCTCACAGAGCCCCTAATAAACACGACCAAAAGAGATCCCACCACGACATGTTGTAATTAAACTCTCCACAGTGAAACATAAAGAAAAGATCCTAAAATGTGCAAGAGAGAAACGTCAGATTACTCTCAGAGGATCTCCAATCAGACTCACAGCTGACTTCTCATCAGAAACACTACAAGCTAGGAGGGAATGGCAAGATATAGCCCAGGTACTAAGAGAGAACAACTTCCAGCCCAGAATATTATATCCTGCAAAGCTCTCATTTGTGAATGAAGGTGAAATAAAGACTTTTCATAACAAACAGAAATTGAAAGAATTTGTCGCCACTCATCCAGCCCTGCAAAAGATGCTTAAAGATGTGTTACACACAGAAACACAGAAACACGGTCATCAATATGAAAGAAGGTAAAGGAAGGAAACCTCACAGCAAAAGATCACAGGGAATTCAAAGCATATATTACAACTTATCTTTGGCAAATGGCAGGACAAAGTTACCACTTATCAATAGTCACATTGAACATTAATGGCCTGAACTGTCCAGTTAAAAGACACAGATTGGCTGATTGGGTTAAGGAACAAAACCCATCTATTTGCTGCTTACAAGAAACACATCTTTCCAACAAAGATGCATACAGACTGAAAATGAAAGGCTGGAAAAAGATATACCATGCCAACCAAAATGAAAAATGAGCAGGCGTAGCCATCTTAATATCGGACAACGTAAACTTTACCACAAAAACTGTTAAGAAAGACAAAGAGGGACACTATATAATGATTAAGGGATCAATACAACAAGAAGATATAACAATTATCAATGTATGTGCACCTAACTACAGGGCACCGGTTTATCTAAAAGATTTGTTAAGGGACTTAAAGGGAGACTTAGACCCCAATCCAGTAGTACTGGGGGACTTCAATACTCCACTCTCAGAAATAGACAGATCAACAGGACAGAAGATCAACAAGGATACAGTAGATTTAAATGACACTATAGCCCAAATGGATCTAACAGATATCTACAGAACTTTCAATCCTACAGCTAAAGATTTTACATTCTTCTCAGCAGTACACGGAACCTTCTCTAGGATTGACCACATACTAGGCCATAAAGCAAGTCTCAGCAAATTCAAAAGAATTAGAATTATACCATGCAGCTTCTCAGACCATAAAGGAATGAAGTTGGAAATTAGCAACTCAGGAATCCCTAGAGCATATGCAAACACATGGAGATTGAACAACATGCTCCTGAATGAACAATGGGTCATAGAAGAAATTAAAAGAGAAATCAAAAATTTTCTGGAAGTAACTGAGGATAACAGCACAACATACCAAAACTTATGGGATGCAGAAAAAGCAGTATTAAAAGGAAAGTTTATATCAATAGATGCCTACATCAAGAAATTGGAAAGGCACCAAATAGATGAGCTTTCAATTCACCTCAAGGATCTAGAAAACCTACAGCAAACCAGACCCAAATCTAGTAGGAGAAGAGAAATCATAAAATCAGAGAAGAAATCAACAGGATTCAATAAAAAAAAAATTACAAAAAATCAGCCAAACAAGGAGCTCGTTTTTTGAAAAGATAAACAAAATTGACACCCCATTGGCCCAACTAACCAAAAAAAGAAAAGACCCAAATCAATAAAATCAGAGATGAAAAAGGAAACATAACAACAGACACCACAGAAATAAAAAGAATCATCAGAAATTACTACAAGGACTTGTATGCCAACAAACAGGGAAATCTATCAGAAATGGATAGATTCCTGGACACATGCAACCTACCTAAATTGAACCAGGAAGACATCGAAAACCTAAACAGACCCATAACTGAGACAGAAATTGAAACAGTAATAAAGGCCCTCCCAACAAAGAAAAGCCCAGGACCAGATGGATTCACTGCTGAATTCTACCAGACATTTAAAGAAGAACTAACTCCAATTCTTCTCAAACTATTCAGAATAATCGAAAAAGAGGGAGTCCTCCCAAATTCTATGAAGTCAGCATCACCTTAATTCCTAAGCCAGAAAAAGATGCAGCATTGAAAGAGAACTACAGACCAATATCCCTGATGAACATAGATGCAAAAATCCTCAATAAAATTCTGGCCAATAGAATGCAACAACACATCAGAAAGATCATCCACCCAGACCAAGTGGGATTTATCCCTGGTATGCAGGGATGCTTTAATGTGCGCAAAACAATCAATGTGATACACCACATTAACAGACTGCAGAAGAAAAACCATATGATTATCTCAATAGACGCCGAGATAGCATTTGATAAAATACAACACCCGTTCATGATGAAAACTCTAAGCAAACTGGGTTTGGAAGGAACATTCATCAATACAATCAAAGCAATCTATGAAAAACCCATGGCCAACATCCTATTGAATGGGGAAAAGTTGGAAGCATTTCCACTGAGATCTGGGACCAGACAGGGATGCCCACTCTCACCACTGCTATTCAATATAGTTCTGGAGGTTCTAGCCAGAGCTATTAGGCAAGAAAAAGAAATTAAAGGGATACAAATTGGGAAGGAAGAACTCAAACTATCCCTCTTTGCAGATGACATGATTCTTTATTTAGGGGACCCAAAGAACTCTACTAAGAGACTGTTGGAACTCATAGAAGATTTTGGCAAAGTAGCAGGGTATAAAATCAATGCACAAAAATCAACAGCCTTTGTATACACAGGCAATGCCATGGCTGAGGAAGAACTTCTAAGATCAATCCCATTCACAATAGCTACAAAAACAATCAAATACCTTGGAATAAACTTAACCAAGGACGTTAAGTATCTCTACGATGAGAATTACAAAACCTTAAAGAAATAAATAGAAGAGGATACCAAGAAATGGAAAAATCTTCCATGCTCATGGATTGGAAGAATCAATATCATCAAAATGTCCATTCTCCCAAAAGCAATTTATAAATTCAATGCAATACCAATCAAGATACCAAAGACCTTCTTCTCAGATCTGGAAAAAATGATGCTGAAATTCATATGGAGACACAGGAGACCTCAAATAGCTAAAACAATCTTGTACAACAAAAACAAAGCCGGAGGCATCACAATACCAGCTTTCAGGGCATTCTACAGGGCAGTTGTAATCAAAACAGCATGGTACTGGTACAGAAAC